GAGCATAAAAGTGCATTGTACAAGAAACATGATTTTTGCTGATCACTCAGCCAGAACGACCCATGCCATAAATTTTGTTTACCAGTCCCAACCAAGCATAGCTGTGAACATGAGGCATGTAACAGCAAACCATGTGAGGAATTCCATAGGATAATTTTAATTGACAGGTATGTTACAGAGACTGTAATCTTCTTTCAGGCATTCTGGAAATGAAAATGAAAAAAATAAGTGCACAAATTATTCAAGGCGAATTATTTGCTCAGCTCTGGCTGTCACGTAATAAAGCAGTCTTTGCAACTTGCAATGCAGGCTGTATCTTCCTTACAGTGGAGAAATTAATTGCAACTCTGAATCAGTCTGTGGGACTGCTGTGCAGCATTACATAAACCAAAGGCAAACTGCACTTAATCCTTAAAGGATCCAATTCATAGGAAACATTTTCAAGTTCTGAAGTCATTTAACCTTGCATATTGGCCTATAAAAGTGTATTGTGTAGCCCTGGAGTGTGCTGTGTACACTTGCATAATAGCCTTCCAAATCAGTTCCATGTAATACCCCAGAGACAGGTATATTCTCAGGCTTATGTTCTTAGAACAAAACACTGACTTTGATTGACTTGGATTAATGTGAGTTGGAAGAAATTGTGCATAGGCCAGCAGTGAAAAAATATACTTTTTTGTGTGTCCCCTAAGATTGCTTTTCCTATTAATTTAAATTAAGACACAGACACAAAAATATGCAAATTAAAAAAAAAAAACAACAAAAACAAACCAACCCCAAACCTTTGCATGTTTTAGTAAAAATTTAAAGAAATTTGTGTCCTTCATATAAAGTTTGACTTGTTGGGATTAAAGATACATTTTTTGAATTCTATGCAAAATTTATGTTAAAATACAGAAATTACTGATGCTCATGCAACACAATCTTTGGATTTGGTGTGTCAAAGAAATAGATACAAAAATGTAGAAAATGACCTCTCAGCCAGGCGATTGATTTATTTGTGATTCATTCCAATACAAATGAGTCAGAAAAAGAAGACTTAGCAAGCAAAGCCACTCTATTACTATGTTTTCTATGTTAATGTGTAAGTATGAGAGTGGGATTATGTAGAAGGGAAGTTTAGCTGGTGGGAAGCTGCCTGGATGAGACACAATTCTGTTTTTGGTAGTTTGCTGTTCTTCCACTGACACTGCTGCTACTGCGTAGGATGAAGTGCTGACGTACACTCAGCACTTTGAGGAAGACTGAGACAAATCACACAGTCCCTGCCCTGAAGAGAGCTGAGTGAAGCAAAGGTCATGCAGGAATTCTATTAAGAGTGTGTTTTCAACTTGGCTTTGCTTTTAAATTTCCTGAGCCTTCCCACTTGGTCTGATGCTGCTTTATCCATCTGAGACTGATAGTATTTCTTTGAACTACTCTTACTTAAAGACTTAGCCCTTTATTGTGGTTAGAAAAAATGTGAGGATTTGTTTCTTCTGTTAAAAACAATCAAGTGTTTATGTGCACTTCATTTGGCAGCTCTAGTTTCTCTGTTTTGGAGCAGATCTTTCAGGCTGAGACACTGACCATCTGAAAACCTGACTTTACTGCAGGTCTTTGAAAAGTGAAAACCTACTCGTGCTCAGGAGATTGGCTGCATTTTAATTTATCAAATAACTTCTTAAAAATATTCCTCCTGAATTAACTGCATTCCAGGCACAGACCATAAGGTCTGACTGCAGCTTTCTTTGGAATATGCAGGGGGAAAGGCACTTAGCTGCTCTCCAGCCATTTAGTCTGAACCTTTTCAATCTCTCCTCACCATTGCTTGACAAAGTGCTAATTCCTGTGCTATGTCTCCAACTGTGTGTGTGCTTAGATAATTTAATGAAAATTACAGAAAAGAATGTCATAGCAGCAAAATAACTTTTTGTACATATTTTCTGGAAATACATTGAATGGCTGGATAGGAGACCTTGTTAGTACTCAAGTTGATTCAAAGTCTTTCTGCCTGAAATTGGGGTAATTTTTGATATTTAGGAAAACATTTCAGTAAAAAACTAGAGAGAGAAAGGAGAAGACCCTTGAAAATTAGGGTGAAAAACTTTTTTTTCTAGATAGCAGTGGGGAAAGCAGTGTTTTGTACTTAAATTTTCAGACTGCTGCAAAATTTGTCAATTAATGGCTCCCAGAGAGCCAGGCTGAGCAGCAGATCTTTATTTATATGAGATGTTCAGGGCTGCTGAAATGGTCTTGATATTTGCTGCAAGGGGGCCATGTGTGTATGGAAGGTAGGACTGGAGGTTAGTTTTGTGGACTTGATTAGAGACAGGGAGCTTTAAGCTTTTATTTAACAACTAAAATCCAAAGCCCTGAAAGCCACTATGGTCTTCAGAGCTGAGCACTGGATGGGAAAAATAGCATTAACTAGAAGATTCATTTAAAAAGAAAACACAACACTCTCTCACTGAACAGTTTGTCCCAAGTGTTACATTCCAGCTGTTTTGCATTTATGTTCTTGCTATCTTTATTTGAGCTAAAAACTATCAAAAGAATAAACCTTTTTTCTTGACGGTTGGTTTAGCATCACAGAATATCCTGAGTTGGAAGGGACATGTGAGATTTTTTGAGTCCAGCTCCTGGCTCCACAAAGGGCAAATAAAGTGAAT